CGAACCCGCCACCTTAGGTGTACGTGGCTGGCGCCTTAGCCGGTTGAGCTATAGGCGCCGAGCCGAAGATCTTTCTTTTTTGGCCACCTGGCATCCCTGAATCTTCTTAGGTTTGAAGCATTCTATTCCCCACATCAGACACCCAAGACTCTCTTAAGGTAGAAGTCATTTTCTTTCCCAGCATCCCTTGCAGTCCAGTAGTCATGTGACTTCAGTTCCACCAATCAAAGGCTTCTGTGGGGGCAGGTCCTCTACAATCAGAACCTGGCAGTAGTATTGCATATGGGAGCTGCAAAAGAGGTGATCGGTGTCCGGCTGGGTAGGGCAAGAGCAGATACACATGGCCTGCCCATGGCTTTTGAAGGGTATAGGCAGAGATTCTGGCCATAGTGTTTGAGCCTGGTGTTGGTGTCCCAGAACAGGCCTGTGCTTGGGTGTGGACTTCATTCATGACTGCAGAGCACCAACCCGACTTTACAGCCTTCTCAAAGATTTGGGGGAGAGTGCCTTATCTCCAAGAATACATTCCTTTTCTGTTTAACTAAAGAAAGTTTTATCATTTACAGCCAAGAGTACTGATGCTGTTTTTCAAGACAGGGAACTATAACCAGGTTGGTTAATCCCTACTAAGTTCACACAGCCAGGATTCAACCCTGGGCTAATTCCAAAAATGTTCTTCTCTTCCTGTGTTCTCGTTTCCTAGTGCCATTCGATGCCATACTCATTCCTCCTGTGGATTATATGTGCACATCTGGGACTTTTGAGTTGATTAGGGATTTGGGTTGACTTTTTTCACCTTCCTTCCAAAATACAGGATAAATTGAAGAGGTAGCTGCTGGATCTCAGAACTAGAGATCAGAAGTCACCTTTATTGGCTCAGCGCCAGCCACATACACTGAGGGTGGTGGGTTCGAACCCAGCCCAAGCTAGCTAAATAACAGTGACAACTGTAACAAAAAATAGCCGGGTGTTGTGGCCGGCACCTGTAGTCCCAGTTACTTGGGAGGCTGAGGCAAGAGAATCTCTTAATCCCTAGAGTTTGAGGTTGCTGTGAGCTGTGATGCCACTGCACTCTACCCAGGGCCACATAGCGAGACTCTGTCTCAAAAAAAAAAAGTCACCTTTATCATGTTAGAGCTGGCAAAGTAGTTTTGGTCTTGCTGCTCCTTTACCCCAGCATTAGACACTTCCTGGTCACAGATAGCTGGGCAAGCACAGGTCTTCCCCTGGGTGGCAGGAAGCAGGCCAGTGCACAGCCATGCTGTGGGCAAGCTGCCTCAGAGCGGAAGAACAGCTGGAGGACTGAGCTACAATGCCCATCCAGTAACATTCATTCCTCATCTCCTGGAAAGTGGAGACCAGTAAAGAGATACTAACTAGAAGCTCCTTCATGTAGGAACATGAACAATGGGGAATGAATGTTCCAACCATACAGTTTTTTTCTTTTTTTTTTTTTTTTTGAGACAGAGTCTTACTATGTTGCCCTCAGTAGAATGCTGCGGTGTCACAGCTCACAGCAACCCCAAACTCTTGGGTTCAACTGATTCTCTTGCCTCAGCCTCCCAAATAGCTGGGACTACAGGTACCCGCCACAGCACCCGGCTATTTTTTTTCTTTTGTTTAGCAGGCCTGGGCTGGGTTCCAACCCATTGGCCTGGATGCACGTGGCTGGTGCCCTAACCACTGAGCTATGGGTGTCCCCACACCATACAGTTTTAAGAAGTTTCAGTTCTAATAAACAACAGCAACATCTGTGAGTTTTGACAGGGTATACATCCAGACTTCAATCCTTAAAGCCCCCACAGCTCCTGAGCCCATGTGATAAAACAGGGTAGCAACTATCCCATCATATTGTAGGGAAAAACCAGGAAGCCAAATACTGGGTAAAAGTACAAAAGATCCCTATAGAAGAAAAGGAAGAGGAAATGGCTCACTGTAGGACTGGGCACAGTGGCTTACACCTATAATCCTAGCACTCTGGGAGGCTGAGGTGGGTGAATTGCCTGAGCTCACAGCCTGAGCAGAGCAAGACCTTGTCTCTAATAATAGCTGGGTGTTGTGGTACCTGTAATTCCAGATCACTTGAGCCCAAGAGTTTGAGGTTGCTGTGAGCTATGAAGCCACAGCACTCTTATCAAGGGCCACAAAGTAAAACTCTGTCTCCAAAAAAAAAAAAAAAGAAAGAAAAGAAAAGGAAAAAAGGAAATGCCTCACTGTGATGGTTCATTTTGGGTTTCAACTTGACTGGGCTAAGGAATGCCCAGGTCGCTGATAAAATGTTACTTGTGTCTGTAAGGGTGTTTCAGAGAGATTAGCTTTCAAATCAGTGGACTGGATACAGAAGATCTTCCCTCACCAGTGTGAGGGAGCATCATCCAATCCTTTCAGGGTCTGAAAAGGACACAAAGGGAGAGGAAGGGTGAATCTGCTTTCTCTTCTTGAGCTGGGACATCCATTTTCTCCTGTCCTCAGACATCAGACAGAGCTCTTGATTCTTAGCCCTTCCTTCAGACTCAGACTGGGACTTATTGGCTTCCTTGGTTCTTAAGCATTTGGGCTTGAACCTACACCACCAGCTTCCAGCAGATCATAGGACTCTCAGCCTCCATAAGTACGAGAACTAATCCCTCAAAATAAGTTTTTTTTATCTCCCCTTCCCCAAGTCTCTTTTTATATACCTACATATATCCTGTTGATTTTATTTTTATTTATTTATTTAGAGACAGAGTCTCACTTTGTCACCCTTGGTAGAGTGCTGTGATGTCATAGCTTACAGCAACTTCAAACTCTTGGACTCAAGTGATCCTCTTGCCTCAGCCTACCAAGTAGTTGGGACTACAGGTGACCACCACAATACCTGGCTATTTTTAGAGATGGCAGTCTCACTCTTGCTTAGGCTGGTCTTTAACTCCTGAGCTCAAACAATTCACTCGCCTCAGCCTTCCAGAGTAGTAGGATTACAAGTGTGAGCCACCATACCCAGCCATCCTGTTGATTTTATTTCTATGCAGAACCATGACTAATAATACATTCACAGTTGCTTCAAGCTACATAACATTAGGTCCATTTTAGATCTCAAAGATTAAAAAAAAGATTAGCAAACCTAAGGAAACAGAATGAAGGTTTTGGTAAACTAGACTGTGCAACAAATACTCCTTTTCTATTCCAATTCCATGAGAGAAATGTACTTTCTCACCCTATGGTGGGTGGAGCCCATGTACCTGCACCTTGACTTCTGGCTTGACCATGTAACTTTCTTTGACTAGTGGACGGTGAGTGGAAGATATGAAGAGACCAGAAGCTTGAAATGTGCTAACACAGTTGGACTGGTGTGCTTGCCTTTCTTTGTGAGATGGTGCCTTGGGTAGCCCATTGGTGCTTGAGAGAAACGGGGAACAGAACCAGTCTAACCAACTCTCACACGTGCAACTCCAAGGTGTGACCATGATACATGCCACAGAGGTTGTCTGTCATGCAGCAATTAGCTAACAGATACAAGAACTAAACAATACCATGTTCAACAAATGCACCAGAAATAGTGGGAACCACAGAAACATGGCAGAAAAGTCAAATCACTTACAAGTGTTTATCAGTGAATGCAGATGGAAATGAGAGAGTTTAAGACAATGAGAGAGAAGCTAACAGATGTGAAGAACAAATGCATGACTGGGATCCTTCGAAGAACAAACAATTCGAACAGAAAAACGTACTCAACTCTGTAATTCAAGAAAATGTCCCTGGGGTGAAGGTCAACCTGCAGGTAAAAACAAAACAAAACAAAACAAGAGTCCTTACAGGCACTTACTCATCTGATCCTTACAGGAGGCCTCTCAACATGGGCAGGGAGGAGAGCTATGAAAGCTGGGGGAACTGAGGCTCTGCGATAGATAGGACCTTAATGTGACCCTTCCAGTTGATGCTATTAGTGGAGGCTGTGAAGAGCTGGCAACAACGGCCAGGTCAGAGGCCTAGAGGAAGGACTAACGTCCCACTGAGCCTCAGAGGTGTCCCAAGAGGACCAGGCGGGAGGGAAAACCGAGGATGGATTCCACAGGAGCTCGACCCTGGCGCCGAGGCAGGAATATGGCTGAAGCAGACAGAATAGCGAATGGATTTCCAAACGGACCTAGTGGGAAATGGAAATTCTGGAGCAAGATGTTCACTGGCCTTCAGAACAGTCATAGAGAAAATGGCAAAAGGGTGCGGGGTGACGCCTGCGCACTTAGTCGTCTGGGTTTACTCTGGGCGACACCATTGGCACCAACCTGCGCAAGCGCCTCTGAGTTGGAGTTGTTCCGGGGTGGGGAGTCCCCGGCCCTGTGCGCACGCGCACAGCAGGGCCCAGGGGCACTTCCCCTCTAGCGTCTGCGCAGGTAGACGGCTGTGGGAGGGCGGGGCCTTCTGTGTCCAGCGCTAAGGGGATTGTGGGATAGTGGCGGAGGGAGCCGGGCGTCGGGAGACCCTGAAGCGGACTGCCCAGCCCGGAGACCTACCCGGTTTGGGGGAGAGGACGATTAAAACAGGAGGCCTCGGCTTCCGTCGGTCGCTGCTCAGCTCTGCAGCCTGCTAGGACTGCGGAGGAGGACGTTTTCCCCTCCCTCGGGGCGTCGGGCTAAGCTGGGGAAGCCAGGGCAACTTCCCTTGTCCTTCCCCGTAGAGCTGCCTGTGCGAGCCTCGCACTGCATCTCACCCCCGCCTGCCTCGGTGCGGAAGCGCTCCCGCTTCGCGCGCGGACCCCGGAGGCCCTTGTGCAGGTCTCGTGACCCTCCCGCCCCCGCCTAACTCGCAACCAACTCTGCGACTAGGCGCGCGAGGCCGTTCCGGTCCCTGGGCGCGTGCGCGGGCCCCGCGATCCCCGGCGCCTGCGCGAGCCCCCGCCACCGCCCCCCGCCCCCACATACCGGGCCCCGGAGCAGGGGCCAGAGCCGCTGCGGCGGGGCGGGGGGGCTGCCCCGATGAGCCCCGAGTGCGAGGAGCCGCCGCCCCCCCTCGCAGGTGAGCTACCGGTGTCGCGGGACCCGGCCTCCCAGCAGGGGGCCCTTATCCTGCCTCCCCTCTCTGCGCCCCCAGTCTCCTCGGTCTTTCCCCTCCAGGGCTTCCCCCACCCCCAGTTTTTATTTTTCGGACCCTTTCTCTATCCCCTTGGGCTTTCCCTCTTTCCTGCCCCATTTCTTCCTCCTGTCTCTCGGCCTCTTCCCTTCACTCTCCATGAAGACTCCTCTTTTAGTCTGTCCCTCTCCGTCCCTCCTCTGCCACCTTTCTTCAACCTCTTCTATCGCGGTTTTCCTCTCTATACCCGCAGGCTCACTCCTCCCTCTTATCCTGTGACCAGCTGTCCCCATGCCCCCAGCAGGTTCCTTCCCTTCGGATACCGGTCGCTTTTCCTCGCACACCCTTCGCTCTTGCCAGCTTTCTTAGGCTCCATGGCCTCACCCTCGGGCCCAGGATGACCGGATAGGGGGCTTTCCCTTCATCTTGATTGTGACTCTCCCAGTTGTCTGGCTGCGGCCTGGCGCCGCTGGGGCTTGGTCCTGTTTGTGTGAGACGAGGCCTGCTGAGGACAGGGCAGGGACCCGGGGCTGGGTGGGATAGCAGGGGGCTCAATCCCAGGTCTGCCCAGGAGGAGGTGATGGGCCCTGGAGAGACAAAGGCAGAGCTGTCCAGTCACAATTACTGTGTGTGGCCATAGAGGTAACTCAGGGCACTGCAGGAGGCCACAGAGCAGAGGGACTGGTGAGACTGGCTGGATGGGTGGCTTTTTCTGTCTAGGAAGGATGAGTAGGAGTTGACAGATGGAGAGTAGGAAGAAGGGCCTTCCGGTGGGGAGGAACAGCACGTGCAAATATGTCAAGGTGGGCGCGTTGGTAAGGCCATGAGTGCAGATGGTTTTGGGGCAAAGTAGCCTGACTGAATACTTGTCTAGGGCCCTGCCCAGGACTTCTCGTGAGGGTCTTCCTTGCACACGTTCTTATACACAGGTGTAACCATTAACACCCACCTGAAAGCAAGATGTTTCTGGAAAGGAAGTGTGCTGTATGTTAAGTGTGGTAACTGGTTCATAGGCTAAAGGAAACTACAGTGAGGTTTCCCTTGTGTCCAACCTGAAGGGAAGTTCCAGCTGTTAGCGTCCGTGGCAGATATAGCAAGGCCTGGAGATGGTTCTGTAGCATGTCGTGAGTCGCTGTGTGCAGGGCCTGTGCAGTGACCTGCGGAAGACACGTGGAAATGCCCACCATGCCTGCCACCTGCACTTACTGGTGGTGATGTGAAGGTTGCTTTGCTGTTTAAAATATGTTGTCTTCTGTTTTCTTAAACAAAACAGAATTTTTGCCTATCACGTATATTATTTTACTTAATTAATTGAGACCACGTGACTGTAGCTCTGGGCTTGGGATCAGGAGGAGGGAGTACAGGCTAATTGTTTAGAGCTAGGCCTTTTGTCACGCAGAGCCAAGTTCAAGTCCTAGTTCTGCCTCTCTAAGTGGTGAGGCCTTTGGCCAAGTTATCCAAATGTACTCTGCTTCCCGCCCTGCGGCCCCCCCCACTCCCGTGTATGAGGGAATAACAGGAGAGCTCTCTACCTAGGGTGGTTCTAGGGCTTAAGTGCCTCATCTGTAGGAGCCTGTAGTGGAATGCAGGATGCAGTAAGTGCTTCAGGATCAGTAGCTTTTAGGATTATTGCTTGGTTTGAGATTATGAGTTGTACTGTTTCTCATCTTGGGGCATTTGTGTTCATCCTGGGGACATTTGACAACCTCTGGAGATGTTTTTGTTTGTCACAAATGGAGAGATGCTGCCAGTGTTTTAAATGTGGAGGTGGAGGTCAGAGGTGCTTGCTGCTCAGCATCCTGCCCGGCACAGGAAAGTCCCAACACCACAGGGAACTGCCCAGCCCAAATGTCAATGAGGGACGACTCTACTCTAAGGCGTGGGTGTTGCAGGTGGTTTTGGCTTGCCTGCTCTGTGGTGCATGTGAGCTGTGTGCTGTGTGGGTTGCGTGTTGGGATGCACTGACTTTCGGTGGGAGCTTGTTGGGCCATCTGTTCCTTCCCATTAGAGGAGAATCTGCTCTCATGCCATCCTCTCCCCCAGCTTGCTTTCAGGGTCTGTGCCAAGTGACCTTAGCAGATCACCTTCCTCTTCTGGCTTCAGTTTCATTAATTCAACAAGTATCTTTAGTGTGAGCTTGGCTGAATCCTGGGGGATAGGCATCTTGGGCAGGGGGAGGGCAGATGCCTGGAAGGCAAGACCTGTTCCCAGCCAAAGCTGGGATGCTGTGGAGACTGCGAGAGCAGGCCCTCACACCCCCTCACACCGTCTGGGAGGCTTCCTGGAGGAAGTGCTGTCTGTGTGGAGGCCTGAAGGGACCTAGGAGGGGCTTGTCAGTCTTGAAGAGTCAGGGAAGGCAACCGAGCAGCCTTTCCAGGGCCAAGAGCAGTCAGGTGTCGCACCCATGAGGATTGTAGCAAGAGATACCTTGGTACAAAGGTTTTAGGGATCTTTCTCCAGGAAGTGGTGCTTTGTGCTAACGCCATCTGTGAGGTATTTCCCAGTTGGGGAAACTGAGATGCAGTGGGGTTAGGACTTGGGTCACTAGGCCACACAGAGGTTTAGTTTGGAGAAGATTCAAACCAGGCCTTTCTGACTTTGGATCACTTTGTAACACTTATCCTTTCCTCTGTCTATTCCAAGGGCTACAAAATTTGTCCGTTGGTCTTTTCTTTTTTTCTTTTAAAGCTGTGACTAATTCAGGAGCTTCTGAATTTGAGTGCTTAAGCCCCCTCCCCAGTCCTTGGCTAAATGTCCTTAGATTATTTTATATCCTAATTATTCTCTCCCCTGAGGTTGGACCAGAGCTGCTGACTCTCCTGGGAGCATGTGGTTCTGGGGTCCCAGGCTGAGGTGTCCTCTTAACTGGGGACCTTCCCCACAGGCCTTCCCAAGACCCAGGAAAGTCCCAGCTCATGAGAATGGGAACAAAGTTATTTGGTCTTGGCTAGGTCCCTTTGGCCTCAGTGGCCCCTTCTCCTAAGTGGGTATTTCCAATGCCTACCTCTCTGGGTGGTGGTGGATTCTGTAGTTGGCACACACCATGAGTCCTTCTCGAGACAGTGGGGTTGCTATCACCATCACCCATCCTTGAAACCAAGTGTTCCCAGCTTCCTTTCAGAAGTGCCTGAGAACTGACCATGGGTGGGGTAGTTAGAGGGAGGTGGTCTTGCCATCTTCTGAATCTCAGGCCCTGAGGAGCTGTTGGCAGGCTGTGTTCCCTTCCTAGGATGGTCAGCTGGCCTGCAGGCCTCTCTGGCACTGGAGCCTCTGTTGCACCTCTGGACAGCTCAGGGGCTGTGGAGGGTATGCACCCCCACCCTTGGTACTCCATTTCCGGGTGCTTGGGAGGCCGATTAGGAAGGGGTGGCAGATACAGCATTGGTTCACAGGTTCCCTTGCAGCCAGTGCTGGGTCTGAACAGACAGAGGCAGCAGTAACAGTGGGGACAGTTCTTTGGGAGCTGCAATTAGGCCCTGTCTGAGCTGGGGAAGGGGCTGGGGGACTCCTGGGGGTTGGCTGGTGTTGAAAGCCTTAGAACAGCACAGCAAAACAAAAAGCCAGAGGTGATGGTGATGGTGCAGACCTGGCGGAGGGAGAGCTGCAGAGGTAGTTTTCTTTTTTAATGGCTTTCTTTCTCATTTACAGTTTCCCCTTCTTCCGTTTGCAGCCAAAGTCATAGTTTTCAAACGGTCGCTAAAAACCAGTGGTAGTCACTTCCGCTTTCTTAAAGTTGCTGAAAGTTGCAAAGAATGGGGGTGGCGGGTGTGTGGTGCCTGCCTTAAGTTGAGTGATCTGAGGAAAAGTGCTTAAGTCACATAGATGAGCAGGTAGCGCCTCTTTCCTGCTTTCCTGTTTTTACTACCATCATCCTCAGGATAGTGACTGTTTCTGCCCATCGTACTCCAAGTGTTGGGCTATGATCTTACATTCAGACTGGAAGAAGCTCATACTTACTCAGAGCCAGTTATGTCAGGACAGCTTGCTTTAACTTGGCTCATTCTCACAGCAACCTGCTGCCCCC